AAAAGACTATCCTATCAAATGTTGACACTGTTGCACTTTACTTGCAGAAGAGTCTGATCTGGCTTGTACTGGAAAGCAGCGAGGAATTAGTTTGCATTTTTTCTGGGAAAAATTTACAACACCTGGAAACTCTTAACTCAATACTTTAATCACTATGATTACTCCTCTGAATGTACATGTTCCTGCCCACTCAGATGGTGTTATATTTTGGAGTCAAAATTTCTCTTGCTGTGGAACAAGGGTGACCTCTAGTGCTTCCAACAAGTCAGTTCCAAGCAAAGCTAAATGTTACAGAACAAGAACAAAAACAGCTATAAAAACTGAATGCTTAATAAAGTTGGGTGATTGGTATCTACCAAAAACTTAATCCTCCAAAGGTTAAGATTTAAAAGCAATTCTCCTTTCTCCATAAAGTATAATCGTTTAGATTACAATTTTAGACTGACATAGAAGTTCAAAATTATTTCAGAAATCAAGATAAAGGTCAAAACCAGAAACAAAGTAGGAATCCTTGACTGCTACTCCATGAATGAAGTATAAACTTTCACAGATGTCAAACACCATACTTTGTGCTACATACTTGCTAACTTTCCAGAACAGAAAGCGAAAGTAGCTCCTACAGAAAAATGAAAACATGGCATAAATCTGAAAAATTTCAAGTATGTCATATTTTCCTGGTTTTTAGCTGAGACAGAGCTAGGCTTCTTTTTAGTATGTAGAACAGTGCTGGTTTTTACTTTCAGCACGGGATTTGTTACGAGATATTCATAACAATATATAAAACCAACATTAATTGCAAGCAGTTATTAAAAGACATTCAATACTACAAAAATTACTTTTTGACACATTTTTTTTTCACTGTGTCAATCTGTCTTTATGTTTCACATTGTTATTTCTATTATTATATCTATAGGCAACTACTTCTCTAATTTCATCCAAACTATACAACTTCAGCCTGTCTCTCCAGTCCTTGGGTTTTTACTTTGTGATCTTTTTGCTTCAATGCTCAAGGGAAACATACTAGGACAGGAAGGAGAACAATGATCACTTTCCACAGGCAAAATTACAAGTAATCCTTTTAGGAAAAAAAGAGCTTCCTCTACATGCAAATCCCCACCCTGCGCTTAAGTAAGCAATGGGCTACACAAAACACAGAGAGCGTATATGGATACAATTTAAACATAATTACATAACAAGTGAAACTGCATCTAGATTTCTTATGGGTACCTTTACAATTCCAACAGCTTTGATGGAAAATTTTTACTGAAAGCAAAGTATGTGATAAACTCAGTTTCCAAGAAGACTAACTAGCCAACACTCTAGTGATGCTACCCAGAAAAGAATGAGTCTCAGTCTAGAATTTTTAAAGAAGTCGTAATTATGCAAGCATATTTAAGGTCAAATGCAAAATTTCATTCTATCAGTCAAGGCAAATGCAAGTTATGTGTAACACTTATTTGAATCTTCCCCTTTGCCACCAAATATCAAATTTTGAATAAATTACATGGTGCCAGGGCTTTCAGAAATACATTTAAAAGTTCAAGCACTTTCCTATACTGTTTTTTCACATAATTTTTTGAAGTTTTGAGATCAAGGTTTTTTCAATCTTTGCATAAAAGCGAAAGTGAAAAATATTATCCAGAAAGGAGACAACAGGAAAAAAAAATATGCCTCTGAAAATGTTTTACAATAAAAACAGAAGTGTGATCTTAATCATGTACACTGCTTTGCCTCTAGTATGATCACATATTACAGAGATAAAAGCTACACAACCTGCATACTCTGCCTGTACAAATAGAAAAAATGCAAACATTTTTATCCATATCATAAAGCATTTTCACAAACAGACATTAAGTGAACAACATGCTGCTTACCTTGTAAATTCCAGGACGTTTAGCAGTTCGTATCTCTCTTCCTGTCCCAACTGAAGAATAAAAAAAAAAAAAAGAAAAGGTGAGAATTAATGCAAAAAGTCTCAAGCAAAAAAACCAAAATCACCAAACATCTCAATAGATATGTACCACAATGCAGTTATTCAGAAATCATTAAATACAAGAGGAGTAAATACAGCACATCATAATGTTTCTCCAGTGTACTTACAGATTCTATGATTACTGAGTCAGGTGTCCTTCCAGTGAATACAAAACGAAGATGCCTTGCTGCTCTGACCAATGCTCCTTCATCTGCAACAAGTCAAGTAGTTATTTTACAGATGTACCAGAAAACTGTTAGTTTACCACATGAATTACTGGACACAGTCCAAGCTTTTCTACTTTTGACTTCCTTTTTCCTTTACAGATTTTAAAATTACATGTGGTGCTGGAAAGAACTCTGTTTCTCCTTTTAAAAACCAATGAAATGAGTTTACAGTTCAGAGAAAATAATCCCTCAAAGGAACATGTCTCTCAGCTCAGTAATGAGAACATCCTCTTCAAAGCACCTAGGCAAGCATCTTCCTCAGTAGGGCACTGGACAAGATACATTTATTTTTGTGTAAGATCTGTTTCAGAAGAGAAGAGTGGTAAGTCATTCCTGTAAGTAATGCATAACTTCAATGCCTACACTCAGGAAACATTTCAAGCAGCAACCCAGTCTCTCATAGACATCAGTTGTCTCCAAATGGTTCAGGATGTCAGAAAGGAATTTGCTTGCAATGCCCAATAAAACATTGCCATGGCTCAGTTAGCTTTATTTATGGCTATACCTCTGCCCTTGTCTTCCAATTGCTGGAGGACAGAATTTAGAGAGATAGCCACCTAGGAGCTGGGGCAGACAGGGAAGAGGAAGGCTGGAGACTTTCTGTGCTTCATGTAATTTCTCCCATCCTAACTTTTTATAAGACATTAGCTCAGCCAAGCTGAGCATAATTTAATCATTTTGCCTTACTTCATTATTTCCTGAATTCAGAAAGTCTTCTGAAGCACAGTAGGCTCAAACCAGACCTTCTGCACTATAACCTTTTCTCACTCTGTAGTAGAACTTACCACAAATTTTATCCTATTAAAAACATTTCTTTTTCATTCTAGATTGCAAACACAGTCTCTGTCCTAAATCAATGCTAGGGTTACTAAGTACAGAATAGGTTCAAAAGCAAGGACATCAGTTTGTCCCCTGGTTTGATTTTTATTTGTATTTGAGCAATTCCTTCAGACTTCCACAGCAATTTGAGAACATCTTAGGAGTGCTATATGGTTAAACATCCTTTGCCCTTACATAATCCACAGGACATCCACATGTATTTTTCTAAAGCAAATTAGAAAAGTCTAAAATTAGAAAAGGCTTTTATGACAAAACTGATTTTAGCTGACACCAATTATTTTTTGAGGGATATGTTTTTTAATATTGGAAGATACTTCAAAAAACAGTAAACTTTGAATAAAATTTGCTTGTTAAGTTCACAGAATACTTCACATTCACTCAGTTATTTGAGTCTCACCTGGAGATGCTGCTTGATATATAATTTTATCACCTTCTCTTTCTGGAACTGCTGTATGACACACTGCCATCATTGTCAAAAACTCACATATTACAGGTGCAGTTGGCTACGAAAAAAGTCATAGTATGATTAATCATTTAAGCAATGAATAAAAACAGATACGAACAAATAATAGTAAAGAAAAACTTATTGAAATATTTTTCCTCTCCTTTAAAAACTATCAACAACTAAACAAAACAGACACTATCTGTACACTAATTTAAGCATACAGAATATCTTCTTGCTGCTCTATGTTGCTACTAGCTATATAGATAGAATTTAGTACCATTTGCTATCATAACAATCAAAAGCAGATAACCAGAAACACAGGATAACTCAAATGAGAACTTATAGGGAAGGTAAGTCTGAATGCTCTATTGAAAGGATATTACTTTATTCACTGAAGTATCTTTGGATGTTGTCTTTTTTACCAAAAACATTCACTCTTACATTACTTTTTTCTAATATTATATTTGACAACACTTTTTAGGAACCTTCAGAAAGATGCAGCAACCGAAAGTGAAAATCATGTGGGAAATGTTGCAAGGTCAGGCAGACAGCTGTTAAAGGAAGATATTTAGATCAATGTCTCAGGCACCTGAAAGTCTACAAAGCTGAAACGATTTTGAATGATTTAGCCAAAAGAGGGGAAAAGAGTGTATATAAGCAAAACAGTTGATTGTTTTTGATGAAGACAGCTAACCTGTGCTAACCTCATGAAGTTCAACA